GGGATACAAACCTTCCAAATTAGACCAGTCAACAGCACCAAAAGTCATGGAGTCTGGGACCCAGTCAATAGCACAAAAGTCACTGGGGCTGGGACCCAGCTGGCGACACCAAAAGTGATAGGGGCTGGGACCCACTCAACAACACCACAGTCATAAGGGCTGGGACCCAGACAACAAGCCCAAATTGATAGGGGCTGGGACCCAGTTGAGAGCCCAAAGTGATAGGGGCTGGGACCAGTCAACAAGCCAAAAGTCATAAGGGCTGAGACACAGTCATCAACACCAATAACATGGGGACTGGGACCCAGTCGACAACACCAAAAGTCATGGGGGCTAGGGCACAGTTAACAACCCCAAAATGATAGGGGCTGGGATGCAGTCAACATCCCCAAAAGTCATGGGGGCTGTGACCCAGTGAACACCACCAAGAGTCATAGGGGCTGGGACCCAGTGAACAACCCAAATGTCATAGGGGCTGGGACTCAGTCAACAGCCCAGACTGGGACCCATTCAGCAACCAGAAGCCATGGTGGCTAGGCCCCAGTCAAGAACACCAAAAGTGATGGGGGCTGGGACACAGTCAACAAGGCAAAAGCCATGGGGCCAGGACCCATTCGGGAACACCAAAAGTCCTAGAGGTCGGGACCCAATCAACAGCCCAAAAGTCATGGTGGCTGGAACACGGTCAACAATCCCCAAGTGATAGGGTCTGGGACCCAGTCAACAACCCAACAGTCATGAGGACTTGGACCCAGTCATGAACACAACACTCATAGGGGCTGGGACCCAAAGAGTGGCCCAAAAATGATAGGGGCTGGGACCTGGTCAACAACCCAAAAGCGATAGGGACTTGGACCCAATTAACCACCCAACAGTCATGGGGGCTGGGACCCAGTCAAAAACGCGACCCAAAAGGTCATGGGGGCTGAGTTCAAGTCATGCACACCCAAAGTTATAGGGGATGGAACCCAGTCAACAGCCCAAAAATGATGGGGACTTGGACCCAGTCAACACCTCAACAGTCATGGGGGCTGGTACCCAATGATTAGTCCAAAAGTGATAGGGACTGGGAGCCAGTCAATACCTCAACAGTCATGGGGGCTGGGACCCAAAGAGTGGCCCAAAAATGATAGGGGCTGGGATCTGGTCAACAAACCAAAAGCGATAGGGACTTGGACCCAATTAACCACCCAACAGTCATGGGGGCTGGGACCCAGTCAAAAACACGACCCAGTCAACCCCCAAAATGTCATGGGGGCTGAGTTCAAGTCATGCACACCCAAAGTCATAGGGGATGGAACCCAGTCAACAGCCCAAAAGTGATAGGGACTTGGACCCAGTCAACACCCCAACAGTGATGGGGGCTGGGGCCCAGTCAAAAACACGACCCAGTCAACCCCCAAAATGTCATGGGGGCTGAGTTCAAGTCATGAACACCCAAAGTCATAGGGGATGGAACCCAGTCTACAGCCCAAAAGTGATAGGGACTGGGAGCCAGTCAATATCTCAACAGTCATGGGGGCTGGGACCCAGTCATGAACACCAACAGTCATGGGGGCTGGGACCCAAAGAGTGGCCCAAAAATGATAGGGGCTGGGATCTGGTCAACAAACCAAAAGTGATAGGGACTTGGACCCAATTAACCACCCAACAGTCATGGGGGCTGGGACCCAGTCAAAAACGCGACCCTGATGGGGGCTGAGGGAGCTCCCTACCCTTCCTTCCTGCCTGCCTTCCCTGGCCCCCATCCCATCCCCTGTGGTCTGTCTACCTGTGTGTACCCCCATCCCTCACCGTGTTGTAGAGCAGGGCCTCGGAGTCCACCGGTTCTGACAGCTCGCTCAACTTCCGGTCCCAATGCAACAGGCTCTGCTCCCCACTTTCCAGGACCTCCATGGCTGCTCCGACCCAATAAAGAGGGCAACGAGGGGGAAGAGAGGGAGAAGGAGAGGGAGAGAGAGACTTTCGTGGCCCACCTTCCACCCACAGCTGCGCCCTATAGCCCTGCCTACTTCCAAACAGCCAACCCCTCCCAGACTAGGCAAGCCCCGCCTGAGAATGCAACAGGCAGCCAAAACTCCCAAGAAGCTCCTCCTCACAAGACCTCCAACCTCAGACTGACACCAGCCACAGCCGTCCCTCCAACCCCCTCCCGCAAAGCGTGGCTCCGCCCCCCTCTCCGACCAATCACAGACGCCGCTGAAGTCTCCCGACCAATCAGAGCCCACACACTGACTTCCCTTTTTCCCCCCTCCCACCCCCGTTCTCGGCCTCGCTCTCCATTCTGACAAGTCGGTTCCAAAGGCTCTCCAGCTGTGGAATGTGGGCGGGGAATCCCGGTGACGTCAGCCAGGGAGGGGAGGAGTTGGGTCCCTCTTCGCAAAGGTTCGCTTTGTCGCTCCTGACCAATCGCTGCTCTCCCTGAACTTTCCACGTTCGGAGAGTGGCAGCGTTCGGAGAGTGGCAGGGAGCCTAACCAATGAACGAGCGACAAGAATACAGCCTGGGGAGAAGCCCCGCCCTGTTCCTTCAAAGAAAGATGAAAATGTTTGAAAAAAGTCTAGGGGAAAGGGGCGGGGCGAGGGGAGGGGCTTGTGGTTAATTTATTCACATGGAGAGAGTGGGTGGTCTTTTGCAAGGACTGGAGGGAGTTTATTCCAAGGAAGTTTGTATTTATTTTGTGACTGTTTTTTCCTTTCTTTGCTTCCTCTTGTCTTTTTGTTAATTAAACATACACAAGATTTGGAAGCAAAGTCCTTCTTTCTTTAGAAAGCAAACATTTGGAGAGAATTGAGGGAAGAGGAGATAATCCTGGCAGAAGGAACTCAAAAATAATAGAGCTGTGGAACTCTGGGATCTGCAGTTTTGTTATATTTTATTTTATTTTATATTTTATTATTTTATTTTATATTTATATACAAAATAATATCTATTTATATATAAATTAATATCTATTTATATTTTATTTTATTTCATATTCTATTTTATTATATTTAGTTATATGGCACTTTAGTTCCTCCCCTTTCCCCCCCCCCCAAAAAAAAAAATTGGGATGCAAAATGGTTTACAAATTTTAAAAAAGCAATGCAAGTCCAAAACTGCAGAAATTGTGGCACTAGAACTTCTGACAGAGAAGGCTCAATGTCTCACAAAACTACAGCTCCCAGAATTCCCTAGCACTGGGCTAGGGCAGAAATAATCCAGTTTGAGACCACTTTAACTGCCCTGGCAGAATGCTAGGGAATTCTGGGAACTGTGGTTTTGTGAGACACCTAGCTTTCTCTGTCAGAGAGCTTTAGTGCCACAATAAGCTACAATTCCCAGGATTCCTTAGCACAGAGCCAGGGTAGTTAAAGCAGTCTCAGACTGGATTATTTCTGCAGTGTGTTTTGGACCTACACTGCAGAAATAATCCACTTTGATACTGCTTTAACTGCCCTGGCTCCATGCTGTGGAATCCTGGGATCTGTAGTTTTGTGAGATATTTATTTATCTATTCATTATATTTAGTTATATCAGTGCTTTCCCCTCCCCCCCCCCCATAACTGGGATACAAAGCAGCATACCATTTTTTAAAAAAAGCAATACAGTTAAAAACATACAAAAATGGCCATTAAAATAGAATTAAACCAGTACAGTATGAAAACACATAACTCATTAAAAGAATAAAATGCAATTTAAAAGAGAAGAGTCTTTAAAAGCAGTACATATTAAAAGAGTTTAGAACCCTAAAGTATTAAAACAATAAAAATATAACTACATGCAGACCACAAAAACCTTCAAATCTAGCACCACAGAGCATTAAGGCTGTTAAAATAAAATTAGATGGTTTGTTGTCATGTGCCTTCAATTCATTTCTGACTTATGGGTCCAAAACACACTGCAGAAATAATCCAGTTTGAGACCACTTTAACGGCCCTGGCTCAATGCTAGGGAATCTTGGGAATTGTAGTTTATTGTGGCACCAGAGATCTCTGACAGAGAAGGCTCAATGTCTCACAAAACTACAGTTCCCAGAATTCCCTAGCATTGAGCCTGGGCCGTTGAAGCAGTCTTACTCTGGATTATTTCTGCAGTGTGTTTTGGCCCTGAGTCTCTGAGAGGTGTGCAGTAAATTAAAAAGCACAGAATGGAAACTATTATAAAGCATGCTTTTGCAGAACAGGACCTGACACCACCAGTATGAGGGTAAAAAAACACCAATGCAACACATAAAACCAGCCACAGAAAAGAACATGTCTAACAACATGACTCCCATAATAAATATCAACTGGCTCCAGACCCAAAAATCATACACATTGTGTGCTCTTTGCTTTGGAAAGCAAGTTTGCATTGATGAAAAAAGGAGCTTTCCTACCATTGCAAACAGCAGACATGAGGCATGCACTGGATAAGTACCATCCCTTCTTTATTCACTTTCAATCCAGGTCTGTCCCCACCTGTTTTAGAAAGTTATTCCAACGATCTGAGTGGAATTAGATCTGATGATTTGACCCTAAATGAACATGAGAGAGTAAAGTTGCCAGTTAAAATGAGGGACAGGGATCCAGGTCCTTTAATTCACTCTTTGTGGGTTGTGTGCTTTCAAGTCCTTTCCGACTTATGGCGACCCTAAGGCAAACCTGCCATGGGGATTTCTTGGATTTGTTCAGCGGAGGTTTGCCGTTGCCTTCTTCCCCTGAGGCTGAGAGCATGTGCCTTGCCCAAGGTCATCCAGTGGGTTTCATGGCTGAGCGGGATTCAAACCTTGGTCTCCAGCATCATAGTCCAATGCTCAAACCACAATGCCACACTGGCTCTCTATTATATTATTATTATAATACAACAACAACAACAAAACAACAATAAAAATTATATTACCTTAATAATAGTAACAACTACTACTACTACTTACTGTTATATTAATAATATAGTATAATTGGGGATAATAGGTTTGCCAGTCTTCCACTGTGGCTGAGAGCATGCAACCCCCCCCCCAGAAGGTCACCCAATGGGTTTCATGGTGGAGAAGGAATTCGAACCCTGGTCTCCAGCATCATAGTCCAATGCTCAAACCACTATACCACCCTAACCATTAAAGGGTTATGTCTCCTAGGGTTGTCAGATGAAATAAGAGGTGGAAAGGAAGACGTCTTTACATCCAAGAGTAAGGAATGGGTTTACTAATGTGTAAATGGTGGAGGCAAGGTCATTACTGTCTTAAACAGACACATTTTTCCTGCTCCAAGGTATACAGAGGTGTAGGCAGTAGCAGCAACCAGTTAACCTGGTCATTATGTAACCATTATGTAAGAACTGGTTCCTGAATATGTTTATTTATTTCCTTCCTTCTTCTCCTGATTTCTTTTTCTTTCTATGTTGTTTCTGTTAAATTGTAAAGCATGATCATCTGTCTGACTTGGTTATGGACGTTATCACACGTGGCCCAGAAACTGAAAATAAAGTGGAAACGAGGCATCCCGAAAATAAACGGGAAATAAACCTTGTTTCCGCAAACGTCATTACCTTCATTGCACATTTAAAGTAAGTGTATTGAACGTCCACACACAAGAGAAAAAAACCCGTAAATGTAGCAGAAATGAGCCTCCTGCACATGCGCAGATAGAGTAATTCTCGCAGGAACCATGGGTAATGACGGGGAAATGCTCCCCAATATGTATTTGGTTATCATACTTACGGTAAATGCAAAATGATCTTTATCGCGCAATTGCAATTCCTCAAGAAACCGAATTTCAAAAGATCTTGGTTCTTTCCACTTTCTGTCCACTTTCTGTCGGGGTTCTGTGCGATGTCATGTAAAAACACGGGCAAATAATCCGGTTTCGGTCGGGATTTTGTTTGGATTTTGTTTGGATTGGGCCCCGTGTGATAACGTCCTCTGTGAGCACAAAGGCAATACATGGTAAGCAAACCTTAGTTCTGCATATTTTCAGTATGGTGTATCTTGAATGGAAAAATCCTGCTGTAGAGAGCACAGAAACCCACTTGGTGATCTTGGGCAAGTCACATTCTCTCCGCCTTAGGGTTCACCTTTGTTGTTGTTGTTGTTGTGTGCCTTCAAGTCGTTTCTGACTTACGGCAACCCTAAGGCGACTCTACCATGGGGTATTCTTGGCAGGTTTTCTTGGCAGAGTCGTAGTCCATTGCCTCCTCTGAGGCTGAGAGAGTGTGAGTTGCTCAAGGTCACCCAGTGGGCATTCATGGCTGAGTTGGGATTTGAACCATGGTCTTCAGAGTCACAGTCCAGTGCTCAAACTACTACACTATGTTGGCTCTCCTAAGGGTCACCATAAGTCAAAAATGACTTAGAAGCACACAACAACAATAAGATAGTACAGAGTTGCTGGTGAAACCAACTTTGCCCCTACTGGCACCTTAATTTCAGATCTTCTGTGGGAAGAAGTGTCAATCCCTACTAGGAGTTTATCACACGGGACAATGGATCCCATGCAGAAACTGGATTTAAAGTGAAAACAACCTGCAAAAGCGGGTTGTTTTTCACACAATGTTGACATCAAGGAGAAATAACACAACATTAGTCTGAACGGAAAGTTGTCAAAACCTGCTCCTTTTTACTTTCGGGAACTTCTGAAAATAAAAAGGAGCAGGTTTCGGTGACTTTCGGTTCAGATTAATGTCACATTATTTCTCCTTTACACAAACACATCTGAAAAACAATCCACTTTTGTGCATCTTTTTCGGATTTTTAAATGCCGTTTCTGCATGGGATTTAAGCAATTTGCCTCCGTGTGATAAGATCCATAGTCAGGTTATGTGTTTTGTGTTCCTCTAGGATTAGAAACTGGATGTCTCTGAATTGCAAAGTGCTGGGGAAACAAGAACAAGAGAAGAGTATTTGTGTTCGGTTTATAGACATCACAGGGCTTCTGGTTGGCCACTATGGCCACCAAGATGCTAGACTAGATAGTCAAGGGGTAGGCAACCTTTTTGAGCCGAGGGCCAGGTTGCTGTCCCTCAGACAATTGGGGGGACGAAGCACCATAAATAAATAAATAAATAATTTTTTTTTAATTTTTTTTTAAAAAAATAAAAAAATGTATGCATGCACACTCTCTCAGCCTCAGAAAAGCCATGGCAAAACCCCTGTGGAGATTTTGCCAAGAAAACCCCAAGAACAAGTAATAACAACAATAATCAATATCATCATGGTGGGCGGCGGTGGCAGGACCGGCCTTGGGCCGGTCTAAAGGCCTCGGGGGGGCCGCATTCGGCCCCCGGGCCTTAGGTTGCCTACCCCTGAGATAGACCTTTGGACTAATCCAGTAGAGTTCTAGTTTCTTATAAAGAGCTGTAGTTGTAGTCATCAGGCACAAATATGGTGCTGTTCCCTGGCACATTGAGAGCGAGGAATCTCAGCCAGACCCTCACATAAAATAGCTTTAAAAATACTGCTCTGGATTTTTTCAGACTTCAGTGAGCTCCAGCAGCCCTGGCCAGTATTGCCAACAGAGAGGGATGATGAGAGTTGCAGTCAGAAAGCAAGCCCTCCAACATTTTACAGGTGAAAAGTGAGCAACATCAGAGTGTGGTCAAGATGGCGATGTTATTACAAGGGAGAACATACAACCTAGGAGAAGATTGTTGTTGGCTTTCCTTGGACTCTACTGGGAAGGATAAGATTCCACCCCTTATCTCCTCCTCCCCTGGCTGTGTTAACTAAAGGCAAACTACTTTTGCATTTTAACTCTACCATGTTTAATATTGTTTTAAGGGGGGGAGGGTAGTGGGTAAAGGGTAAGAACTTGGATCTTAACTGTACTATTTTAATTTGATGTACGCCGCCCCAATTGCTGAGCAGAGGGGGCGGGTTATAAATAAAACTTATTATTATTATTATTATTTTGAATACAGATTGCAGCAATGTGGGGTAAGCTGAGGATAAAGGGGGTAAGTGGGCTAAGGAGAGAGAAACTGGCATGCCACTGAAAAAGTAGGAAGTCAGAGGAGGTTTGCCATTGTCTTCACCTGAGGCTGAGAGCATGTGACTTGCCCAAGGTCACCCAGTGGGTTTCATGGGTTGAGCTGGGAAATCAAACCTTGATCTCCAGAGTTGTAGTCCAACACTCAAACCACTATGCCACACTGGTATTATAGATTATCTTTAATAAAGGTGCCTAGGAAGCTCAACAGTAGGAATAAGGAATCTTTTTCAGTCTGAGGCCAATTTTGATTTTGCAAACAATCTCAAGAGCTCCATTCCAGCAGCAAGTGGAACTAAGGAAACTGAGGCAAGGACATGATAGCTTGGGCCAAAGCAGTGTAGACAGGGCCCAGTGTGATTCTTACTCATCTTGAACATTTCCCCACCATGGATACAGCTCAGTTTTTAAGTCAGCCAGCTCAGGAACATGCCCCAGTATCACAGTTTCATAGGCTGCCAAGCACATCTCAGTGCTATACAGGGTAAAATTTTAAACATTGGTTGGAGATAAAAGCAGAAGAAGCTTTCCATCTGGATAGGGAAGACATCAGCTGGGAGTTTCTGTTCTTGCTCTATGGCTCTTTAGTGTTTGAAGTCCATGCCTATTTCCCAGGCTTAGCCAAGGTGTTTTGCTGCCCAAGGTGAAAGATAAGTAAGCTCTGTGTGCCCACTTTGCTTTTCCATGGACTGGTAGCGGAAACTTATTTACAATGTCAATGGAACAATATCCTACCAACTGAAAGCAGGACAACAACCTCAGTAGCACAGGGTGCAGACCATGTGGTACTATGCAATTCTTTGTCACTTTTCTATCACCACATGCTCCATGTGCCACCTTGTCTAGTTGCTGCTGTTGTTGTGTGCCTTCAAGTCGTTTCCAATTTGTGGTGACCCTATCATAGGGTTTTCTTGGCAAGATTTGTTCAGGGGAGGTTTGCCGTTGCTTTCCCCTGAGGCTGAGAGCATGTCACTTGCCCAAAGTCACCCAGTGGGTTTTATGGCCAAGCTGGGTATTGAACCCTGGTCTCCAGGGTTACAGTCCAACACTCAAACTGGGATGAAATAATGTAAAAGAAACTATAAAGCTCATGGCTAATGCGGGGCTGGATTGGATGACCCTTGGGGTCTCATATTTTATGTTTAAAACTGCATGTTCAACTTGTGGTCCACTAGGACTCCCAGATCCCTTTCACACTTAATCTCGTGTCCCCCACCTTATATCTATGCATTTAATTTTTCCGCCCTAAGTGCAGTACCTTACATTTCTCCATGTTGAGATTCATTTTGTTAGCTTTGGCCCAGTTTTCTAATCTATTAAGGTCATTTTGAATATTCATGCTGTCCTCTGAGGTATTAGCTAATCCTCCTAATTTGGTGTCATCTCCAATTTTGATAAGCACGGCCCCTATCTTTCATCCAAGTCATTGATAAAGATGTTGAATAGCACTCGGCCAAGGACAGCACCCTGACGGGATAAGACCATTTAAAGCAGGCATTGAAGTGGAGGATTTGTCACAGCTGGAACATCACAGTAGAGAATGCCTTCTTTTACATCTGTGCCCATACTAATGGGACACAGAGAAAGGACCCTGCAGAAGACCTGAATCCTCCTCAGGCAGACATATATAGGGAGAAGCTCTCTCTCAAACACCAAGTCCCAACAATTTAGGGCTCTGCATGTCATCACCAACGCCTTGAATTCAGATTGAAAGTGTAATATGAATAATATGCTGCACTTTATTTAACCTGTAGCTTCCAAGTTGTCTTCAAGGACAGTCCCATGTAGAGCATGTTGCAATAGTCTAATCAAGGAGTTGCCAGTACATGAACTACTGTGCCTATATTATACCTCCAGGAAAGGCTGTGGCTAGTGGATCAGCAAAACCAACACACAGAGTTCACCTCCAGCATCAAGTGACAGAAATGGGTCTGGGATATTCCCAGCTGTCTGTGCATTTGCTCTTTGGGGGTGGGGGGGTGGGGGTGAAACCCCATCAAGGCAGGTAATTTACCCAATTTCTAGACTAATAGCATAACAAGAAGGGGAAAAGTGAACTCTCACCATTTGAAGACCCTTCTTCAGTAGCCACTTATTAGCCAAAAATTCATTTGAGGATTTTTTTTTCCTTT